CTTCTTCTTCTTCTTCTTCTTCTTCTTCTTCGTCTTCGTCTTCGTCTTCGTCTTCGTCTTCGTCTTCGTCTTCGTCTTCGTCTTCTTCGTCTTCTCCTTTTCTCCTCTGTAGCCAAATTAATAAATAATGTTTGTGGGCAGGTAATTGTGTGTAACTGTATTAGCCTGAATCAGTCCACTGCAGGATGAAAGCTTCTTTACTGATCTAGGACTTACTGAACAAGTGACTGGGCCAAAATTATCCATTTGGCTACTATGCTGGCAAGCACACTTTCTCTCTGTATGTGAAATACTGTGATAATGTGATGAGCAGCCTTCAAATGCAAAGAGACTGGTCTGTGTACAGTCGTGTTGCAATAGGAAAATAATCAGTGGGATGGGCAATGCAGAAGGGGCAATCCCGGAGTCCTTCGGGATTGGGCGGCTTATAAGTCTATTAAATACAATACAATACAATATACAATATGCATTTTGAGGAGCATGAGCTTTGTTCCAAATTTGCCTTCACAACACAAAAAATCCATTTTAATTTCAACGGAGGAGTGGGGGAAAACTATTAGTTTGGAGGAGCACTTTTCTCCATCTCCCTAGAACCATCCCTGCTTGTATATCAATTTCTGCTTCTTTACAGAGCTGAATTAACTGTTGATCGATAGTGGTTGGAGGGAGGTAGCAGTCTGAGCAGCAAAAGAGTTGCATATTTGTTCAGTCATTCTCGCTTGCAGGCTGGGTGGCCACATACAGTAAATGGAATAAAACAAACAAACACTTGACATTCTGGTTGGCTGCCAGATAATTTCATTAGGCCGGGTGATTTCATTAGGGCTGTGCAGCGTTTCAGGTTCCATTCTTGAAAGGTGCTAGAGTGCACTCTTTCTGAAGGAGCCCTGTCTTTTCCTGAATTTGAGCAGCTGGCACATTGTCCTGGAAAAAGACGTGCTATTTTAAAAAGCGGGTGTGTTTTCACCCCTGCATGCTTTGAACAACCTTTATGGGCTAAATCTAAAAATGCTGCATAGTCCTAATATCCACAATTTCTGCTTTTTTTTTCTTCTTCTTGTAGGGCACTTGTATAAAGTCAACATGCCTGTGGTTGTCACTCAAGCTACTGGTGGAGGAACTGCCATTCAGACTCCACTTCAACAAATATTCCAGCAAGTTGGGAAGCAATCCTTGGTGCCTCAGCCAGCCCCAGTCAATATTATACAGGCAAATATGTCTTCTCTTCAAGAAACCAGCAATGGTAGCTTGCTGACCTCAAAGCCGCCTGTGCCCCAGCACCTAAAGATGGGGGATAAAGACTTGCTTGGGTCTACTGCTGCCACACTTGAAGCCACCAGAAGTCAGGGGGAAATTGCAGTAGGGACCCTGGTAAGTCTGCAGCCCTCAAGTTCTTTACAGACTTCCCAGATAGGTGTTACAACTGTTCCTGTTGCAAAGCCATCTGGAGTAGACAACCTCAGGTCCAGAGAAGCAAGAGGAGGCGTATCTTCTGGTGGGGGACAATTGTCTGTGAATGTTGAACAGCCTCCAGAACCTGATGATATAATTGAGTTGATAATTATGGGCAATGACTTGGATGACTCTGCCCTTCTATCTGATGAAACCAGCCTCTCTTTTGTTGAAGAGGTAACTCTGCTGCTTTTTATTTTATTTTAAAGGATTCTTAATATAACTTCTTAAAGAGCGTGTAGATATAATTTTAAGAATGTATTTAGCAATAGCATTTAGACTTATATACCGCTTCATAGTGCTTTACAGCCCTCTCTAAGGAGTTTTACAGAGTCAGCATATTGGCCCCAACAATCTGGGTCCTCATTTTACTGACCTCAGAAGGATGGAAGGCTGAGTCACCCTTGAGCCTGGTGAGATTCGATCTGCCAAACTGCTGGCAGCCAGTGATCAGCAGAAGTAACCTGCAGTGCTGCGCTAACCACTGTGCCACTGCGGCTCATTTATACACAGCTTGAATAGAAATGTGAAATGAGCTTCATCACAGAGTTGCCTTGCAGAGTGAGATAGGTGGCATATAAATTTAATAAATGAATAATAATAAAATCATCCATCCATCCTCATTTAAAACAATAGCAAAACATCTATTTATTTTACCAAAGTTGAACAGTCTTGATATTTTTAATGTGTTGTGGGGGCAGGAAGTACTGTGTAGTTTTAAAAAGATGTTATCTCTGCATGCTTCTCCATAGCCTTTCAGATCCCCACTTCCTTTTAGTTAGATACCAGTGTGCAAATGGAATCAGATCTGCTGGCCCAGAAAAATATTTCCAATGACATTGAAGAAATCATTCAACTAGATGGGACAAATGATCTCTCAGCCAAAGCAGAAATAGAAAGTCCAAGAGATGGAGAAGATGAGGAGCTTGTGGGTATAATTGATGCTGAAGATTTAAAAGTCCTGGATGAGGAAGAAGAGGAGGAAGGTGAAAATAGCACTTCAGACAATCAGTCTCTCAACAGTACCAGCGATGCTGATGAATCCTCAGTTGATATTGTTGAAGAGGTAAAATGTAATGTTTAGAATGATTGGCTTTCACTTTTGCAGTATAGTCTTAATTTGCATTAAGAAAACAGAATTAAAGTGGACAGCTATCCAGTTCTTCCATTGATGGATTACTAAGTCCTTATTTCTGCTATAAAGACCTCTAATGAAGGTGTTCTTTTCCACTAATGAATAGGGCATCATTCTTAATGTTAAGTGTAGATCTCCTTTCATGTAATCTAAACTTATTAAACAAGAACGGGCAACCTGGAGCCCTCCAATATTTTTGACTATAATTTCCATGGTCCCTTGATTGACCATATAGGTTGGGCCTCAATGGGTGTTGGAGTCCAGCACAAGATTATTGCCTTTTCTCTGTAGCAATAGAGCACTAATTTGCCACGTCATCTGTGTGAAGGTCTTCATTACTATTTGAATGTGGCTATCAGGTCACATCTTAAAACATTCATTCTGTAGATTAAATTCATATAATTTCTTCAAGGTTCCCTAGAAGGACTTGAGGAGAACACAGATCTCTCCATTCAAATCTAATGCTCACAATTGGATACACGTGTCATGCAGAAAGTGTACAGACAGTCCTAGACTTACAACAATTTGTTTAGTAACTACTCAAAGTTACAACAGCACTGAAAAAGTGACATGACAATTTTTCATACTTATGACCATTGGAGTATCCCCATAGTCATGTGATTAAAATTCAGATGCTTGGCAACTAACTCATATTTATGATGGCTACAATGTCCCAAGGTCATGTGATCACTTTTTGTGATGATCTGGCAAGCAAAGTCAATGTTGAAGCCAGATTTACTTAACAGCCATGCTACTAACATAACAACTGCAGCAATTCCCTCAACAACTATGGCAAGAATAGTCATAAAATGAGGGCAAAACTAAGTGAAACATTAATTTTGGGCAACATAAATTTTGGCCTCATGTGTGGTCATAAGTTGACTGCCTGTGTTACAATAATGGGAAATCTACATGTATTGTTTATACATCATCTAGTTTGAGGGGGATTATAAATTTGCAGTGTTCATCTCTGGCCAAGATACTAACTCATTGTATGCTCTCTTTTAGTTAGATTTGCAACTTCTTGGAAATAACTTGTATCTTATTGCTTCTGGCAACTGTGTGTGCACAACATAGATTAATTTGATCCCTGCAAATCCCAAAGCTGTTCCCTGTCCTGGTTCCACAGAAACAATTTTGCATTTTGTTTTTTAAAATATTGAGTATTGGTGCTGAAATACATTTAATTGGGAAAATGTGCAAAAGCCTGGTTAATAAAAATGAAGTGTACAGAATTTACCTTCCAGAAGGCAGAAAGGGGAGTGGAGAAGTAATTGAGACACGACACATATCTTTTGAAGGATGAAAGTGACGAAAGCTGAACTGTATTAGCAGAAAAAGTAATCTGAAGTCATTTATTGCTAAACCCTCAGAATGTTCTTTTTTATATAGAAAGAAAGCAGACAGCAGTTCTTTTGGGGAAGAATATTTTTGTCTGAGAGCTCTGTTTAATATCTGTAAAATTGAAAGAATAGATATAATGTTCAGTAAGGTGCATGCTGCAACATAGCTGCTATAGGTATAGTACGGATGCAGGGCAATTTCCTGAATTTTTACTTGAAAAAAGCACAACAGAGCCCTTGAGGAAGTGATGTGTTCTGTTTGGTGCCAGGTACATTTGTAGAGTCTGGCAACCATTTGTGATGCTGCCTGAGCTATACCCTGCTTTGCAGATCCTGCATCAGGTACCAAAGTAGACAAGAGAATTCTGTGAATTTGCTTGATCCTTGTTGTAGAGGCAAGAACTAAAACATCCTATATAATAGCTCTCTCTATTCCTGTACTGCAGTATACTACAATAACAGTTAGGTGCAGTCTATTTTAATAAAATAGTTAAATGTTAGTCAAAACTTTTTAGGTTAAACTTCTGGGGTGTTTGTTTCTTTGCAGGATCCTTTAAATTCTGATGATGATGTTAGTGAGCAAGAAACACCTGATGTTTTTGACACTGATAATATAATTGTATGCCAATATGACAAGGTACGTTTAAGTATTTTTTTCTTTTTAAATGACCTCTGAGACTTCAAGTCAGCCTTCCTTAAAACATCAAATATATCAGGAATTCTTATTTCCTGGTGTTGGAAAATTTGAGACGATAACAGATATTTTTACCTAGTTCCATAGTGCCAGATTGGGGCAGGCCCCTAATACATTTATATTTTAGGCATGTAGTTAAAAATAGATTCTGTGGGTTCGGTGCCCAAATATATGTTGTATACAAAAACTGACATAGAAGTAACCAAATAACATGCTTGCTTAACTCTGCATTAATATGAATCCTCTCTTACATTTATATAATTGAATAGCATGCTTATTAATCCCCATGCCCATGAACTAGTGAAAGATTACAGCAAAAAATGTGATAACAAGCCTATGGTGAATGATGACCTTTTCAGTTGTATGTTGTCTTTTTATGGAATTGTGCAGCTGAAATCTTTTCATATGCTTGCTGTGGTTTCAGAAAGCCATGCAAATAGAATGAAAACTGAGTAGAACCATGTGGTTAAAGGTTGCCGTTCTTTAAAAGAATTGGACCTTTTTATTCATTAAGAAATCTAGTCATCTTGTGTGAATTTTCCCCATAATGCTAGATAACTGGTTATCATGGGCATGTTCCTTTAGACACACTACGTTTTTGATAACACGAGGCTGGGGAGATAAGGAAAGAATTAGATAAATGGAAAACAGATCTTGGCATAACAGAAATGAACAGGTGTTTGAACAGGTGTCGGTGCTTCATTTCTCTCTGCTTCAGAGCTGGCAAGGCTTATTTCCAAAAGCTTGCTTGGGATGGGACAATTCTGATTAAGTGAGAGAGGAAAAGAGTAACTCATAAAGGCCCAAGTGATGTTCAAACAAATCTATGCACACCACCAAGGTGAACTGATGTAACACTTTTCTCAGTTGCCCAAGAGAATCTTGAGAATAGTAGCTTGATGTCTGTGAGAAAGGCAGAAAGCATCTTTAATGTGATTTCTCAGCACTTTTTTGAGGTCTTGTCATGAAAATCATGCAAGTGCTGTCCCTTACATTATGAGAGAGAGGGAGAGAGGGAGAGAGGGAGAGAGGGAG